GCAGACGTTTTGATAGTGATGATTAGCCCTTTAGCTGACTTGGGGCTTCACAGAGGGGAGGAGGAACATCAAAGTGAGAAGAGATCGAGAGGTGGGGGAAAAAGAAGAGTGTTTTAAAGATGTAAAAGAGACAGACACAAAGGCAGAGAAAAGGTAGGATGAGTACTGTGGAAGTGGTAGAATATGGCATACAGTGGGGTGATGGTAGTTTGAAGTCAGAAGTCAGGTGCCAAATAATGGACTTTTTTGCCATATGAGTATACGTTGCCCAGGGTGCACCACGTGGAGGTAAGTCTATCGCACACCCCAGCTTTCAAATATAACAAATATTGCTCACAATTCAGTAAAAGAATTTTCGACAATCTTGAAGCATCAAGCTGCGTAATGATTAGCAGTGTCGGTTGATTAGTATAGATTGATAGATAAAAAATTTGAATTGTTGAAATTTTTAGGGTGATAGCGGTGGCCCACTCGTTTGTTACTTAGATGGATTCAAGATTCTTGCTGGTGTTACCTCAGCAATCCATGCCAAATATCCCGACAGTTATCCCGCCGTATTCACAAGGGTATCCGCATTCACTGATTGGATCATAACTACAATGAAACACCACTAGAGAGGAGAACGAGTCGACAGCCTGCCTTTATACTCCCCCCGCCCCCTCCCAATTCACAACTTATGTATTACACAGCATAATATGATTAGTTGCACCTTAACTTAACTAAAATAATAAATTTCATCTTTGTCTTTCATTTAAGTCACGGTCTTGTGATTGCTGACCTATCTCAAACTGAAGAATACTGTTATGAATGTGATCACTGTAGGAAGTGGCACAGCATCGAAGGAACAAGTCAAGTTACTCATGTTGCTATAACAGTTCTGAGGTAGCTGATAAAGCCACCCACCCAGTTTATTGGAAGATCAATTAGATAGAATTGAATGCATTTCTTCGTGGGGTATCGATGTCTTTGCGTGAGACTGACATCTGTGGAGACAACTATTTGCAAACTTCTGTACCGTACATTTTTGGAATGCACCTTATTTTAGTCTTTACTATCTCTGGGTGCTTTGTGATATCCGTTGCCAATGGCAAGAACTTATGTAATCGCCGTATTTCCTGCCCCATTTTGCCGACGTTAAAGTATTGAAGCATCCGCGAAAGCGCCGATTTGGAATGGGTATAAAGGGGAGATTTCCCTTTGGGGTATTTTCCCACGACTTTGGCCGAAAATCGTGTCCAATGGGAGAGGGGGCGGGAACTTTCTGGGACATTCTGTGCCCTTAATGTAAGATCAGAAACAAGATTCGTATCAATTCGAGAGGTAGCCGCAAACATGGTGCATAACAAGTTAAGGTAATTACCTCAAATTCCATGAACCAAGCATTCTACTATCTCCACAGGCCTTTTTTCCTTTCCGGTGGAGTTTTATAGCCAGCTTCCTGAATTGTTTGATGCATGCTTGTAATTGAAAACTTTAATACAACGATAATATATCATCATATCACTTAATAAACTCCTAATATAATTATCTAATAATCATTAAGAAGCTCAATTGAATTGCTGGGCATAACTCGAATAGACCATTTTGTGATTATGATTCAAAAGTAATGATAAAAATTTTCATCTTTCGAACTCAGTTAAGGCGAATAATTACTTGCAGTTGCAGATAATTTGGTAAGATTAATGGTTAACAGCAGTTCGCTTGCAAGTGGACTGCAACGGCCAACTGCTTGGGCAACCCAAGTAAAATATGACTGTGCAATTGACAAGCACTCTGAAGATTTGCACGAAAAACTGTCAGTATCGATTTTCTTTGAACACATAACAAATAATGCATTTCTTTTTCTTCAAGGAAGAGCTTAATAATGGCAAAAAAAGGATTTCATAAATAATTTAAAGAATTTTGGAAGAAAAGTGCCCCTTCGGTGGCTTGTAAGAGCCAAACAATTTAAGGAAATTTAAGGGATTACTAATAAAATATAAATAATTTATGTTTGATTAAATCCGTTTATGAGATCGAATGGGTTGAACTTAAACCCATCTTACTGCAAAGCCAAGAGTCATTCTGAAGGGAAGTAGGGTGCAACAGCGACTGTCAAAAATAGAAAGTAAACTAGAAGGAAAGGTAGAAGGTGTACGTGTTGTGATTAAAATATGAAATTAGATATTCATTTTTTTAGTATTATGAACACTCAATGCAAAGCATTCATCGAAAATATTAACGTACACTGGCTTACAAATGAACATGGAATTATAACACCAATTTGGACTTCACACATTTTATGTCTTGGATATTGACAAAATTTCTCTTAGAGTATACAATCTTATAGATAAGCACAGAGACAGAGAGAAGAGTAAAATATTAGTCGTAAATGCCCTTAAAATATAAATGCTATAGATGAATCCTTCGACGACTAAAAGGAACATAAATTTAATACTACTTGTAATTGACGACTATTTAAATAGAAAAGTTTCGTTCCACATATTACCATAGTATGTTTCATTTCATCCAGTTAGGGACAGAAGAAAGTAAAATTTTGTATGTAGAGTATTGTTGACAAAATTATTGGCTTGCCTTTTGAGAATGAAGTTTATAATGCTAACATTATGATTAGTTTATCAACATATTGTAAATTAGCATCTGCACAAACAAAATATTTTCTTTATGAAGTAGCAATTTTTTGAGTGTAAAGATACAGTGGGGCTTAATAGGTATTAACCTTAGTTACTTGCATGTAAAAAAAATATTCAAATATTACGCGAAAAAATTCAACCTGGAGGACTATTAATAAAGGCAGATTGTTAGACGTCAAATTGAGTTTTAAATTATTATTCAACATGACCTTCACGTATTACTTGATACTTTGACCGTGTAGGTCGGATGACTACATTGATACTGACTCTCTTTTGTACCGTACCACAGAATTGTAGCACATAACAATTTATCAAGAAATGGAAGAAACATTAAAACTGGCAGAGTAGGAATGTCTTTACTTCTCACAGTTTTTAGGTCTTTGGGATGCATATATCACGTTATACCTCCGTTTGTTCCATCTACCAGTACCGACAAAAGTATGCCAATAAGACATAATTAATTTTCAGTTAGTTGGTTTTTCGTTCTAGATTTCGAATCAACGTGCGACACAGAACCCAAATCTGGATTGAAAGCGGAAATAAGTATGTGTATCTCAAGAACTGGCATAACATCTTAGTTGAATTTCCCGTTGTTTTAATTAAAGCCCAGACCGGTGAAATCGTTGATGAGTTTCACAAATATGTTCGACCTACAGAAAATCCTATTTTGAGTAATTTCTGCAAGAAACTGACAGGCATTTCTCAAGTTTGTCGCATTCTATTTTGGAAATTGTACGTCGTAGGAAAGAGTCGACTGTTCATCTGACCTGCAGCAAGTTTTAAAAGAATTTGAGCAGTGGCTTAGGACTAAGAAAAATGAATTGAATTGTACATTTAAAGTAGATTGCCAAAACTCCGCAGTCTTCGTGACTTGGACGGGTGAGATTGAATTACCTCTAATTTATATTTTAACAGATTGGGACATCCGTACTTGTCTTTGGAACGAGTGTCAAAGAAAACACCTTTCTCTTCCAGTCGACCTCTTAACGAGAATAGACTTAAAGGCTGTATTTAAGGTAAGTATTTTCAAGTGGATTTATTTTTTCTTAGCAATGGCATGCTTCAAAAAATCCACACACTAAGGGTGAATTTCAAGGAAGGTTGCAAGATGCCATTACGGCTGCTGGTTTATCGTTTAGAGGACGACCTCATAGCGGTATTGATGATGCGCGTAACACGGCCGCTCTTTTATATCGAATTATTTCTAAGTGAAAACTCATCAGATTGCTATCGAAGAAAAATTATTTTTATTAAAATAAACATGACATCTTTCTTACCAGTTCTTTAGTAGTTAAAGAGGCGTAAAATGGAAAAATTACATTTGACATATTTTTACAAAATCTTTCACAAAATTCAAGTTTGAGTATTTCTTAAACAACGAGGTGGAAAAACCTGAGGAGACGTAAGCTAGTAAACCGGGCAGAAATAAGAGGGGTGTGTTATGAAAGTGGAGCAGATTAAAAGGGTGAGGGCTACTGATTACGTTCGGCCTCTCGTTTGCGTATGATGTCACGTTTCTTGCGCCAATGTTCACGTTTGAGGTTTTCTGTATATCTGATCGATGCGAAAAAACCGACAAAGCTCAAACCTAGCAAAAATCCACTAAAACCTTATGAAATAGAATAATAGTGAACATACGCAGCAATAAATCCCCTTCGTAATTCACGAGCCTTCTTATCAAGAGACATCATTCACGATACATGCCTAAATTTAATAACGTAAAGGCGATAGACATGAAAAGCAGATTGATACGTCGAGGAATGAAGCTATGATAGATTTGCATCGAAAAAATGCTTCTCAATTAATTCTCATAAAATTTAAATAAATTTCCGTAATATATTGATTACAAAAATATATAATGTGAAATAGACTGAGTTACTAAAAGTTTAGGAACACAGGCGCAAAAGCAACCTAATTACTTACGGTACAGTTATTCTCTGCAGGCAGATCGAAGGCCACGACTTTAAGTCATTATACGCATTCTGGGTCAGGATATATTTAATAAATGGTAAGTCTTATTACAACTTTCAGTAAAATTATAATTTGTTGTTATTTTTAATGTAATTTCTAATTTATTTTTAAATATTTTTTAATGAGATAGACATATATGGTACCACGTGTGGTTTGAAGGTCACTTTTAAGGAGAATTGTGCGGATCACTTCAGGCCGTGAGCGAAATTTTCTTTCCCTTCTAAAATATTTGAGGATTTTTCACAAATAAACTAATTTAGGGCGTAAAGTTACACTTTTGGTCCTGGAATGATATCCCCACTTTTTTGGCCTTTGCTTGAAGTAAGAATTAATACTAATCTCCATTTTTTAGTCAGGCAAATGTTCGGTGGAACAAGAGCTAGCAGCTATTACCAAAAATTTTATTCAAAATAAAGAAAAATTTACCGACGAAGAACTACACATTCTGTCAGTAGAGCTTCTGAATTCCTTTTTGACTAAAGACATTTCATCAGATTTTGTGAAGTTGTCTACTGGTCTAAATATCGATATAGGGACATATTTTTCTCTCATGGCAAATTTACCAACAATGGAGATCTTTTTTGATGTTAGTTTCTTATTCTTAAAGCCAGCGAAAGTTTCTTTTCATGCACATGTATATTTATTTTTAAATTTAGGTAAACGTAATGAGTGGTACGGATGAACAGTCTCTCTGTTCTCTTAAAGACTTTTTCTCCAGATTTATTGAATATATCACGTCGAATCCTCGAACCATAAGGGCTGAAGTACAATTTACTCAGATCTGTATTCTTTCATGGCAGGAGTGTTTTATTCACAATTTTCAGCACTTAATTGGAGACGTCATTTCAAATCTATTGACTAGCAAAATTGCATCTTTACTTTCCTGGTACTCACAAGCTGAAAACTTTAAACACGACAGCTATTCAATATGTCTGCATTTAATTGTGTTGGTTTCCATATTTCGACTCGTTTACTTGTCTTTTTCGGAGCGAATAACATCAGATAATGTGTATGTGACTTTTTGCACTTATTTCTTTCTATTCAAGCGAGGTTGAAAGTACCAAAAAACTGAATCCAAAAAAATCAAATTTGAATGATCTGGGACGTCTTTATCAAAAGTCTCTTGAGAATCTGTCAGATTCACCATTTAAGGCTTCCACATTGGGGAATTATAACTTGGAGACCTTCGGTTCTGATGCTTTCAAGTTATTGATGTACTTTTGTGGGTGAGTTTATTGGTTTTAATTAATCTTCTTCATTGTTTTGTATGACCTCATGATATCGTTTATATTAGCATAAAATTAATTTCCATATTTTGAGATCCAGTGGTCCTCGAAATTTCCTAATTCCTATTAAATTCACTTTCACAGCAAAGGTACTAACTGCTTTTTTTCGTGTCAGCTTTTATGACATTGATGTTTGTTGGCGCACAGCTAGCGAAGCAGATGATTATTTTTTTAATCAAAAATAAGGAATAGTAGGTCGTGAGCTTTTCTCTGCTTAAATGTCTGTCAGTCTTTGATTTACCCCCATCTATTCTTTAGGCTCTTGTCTTCTAGGAAAGAGGGAGATACTTTGTGGGATAGACTTATTGAGTATAGTGACAGCTTAGTGGACTGAAGGGAGTGGATTGCTTATTTGAAAAGGGGAAGTTGGCCTTGGGGTTAAATTTCATTTTAAGTAAAGCGGAGTCAATCGGGGTAGTACAGTGAGGTAGGGTTACATGAGTGGAACCTTGGCGATGTAACTATCTACGGTGGTTTCTAATTCACTCTTGAAATATGAACAAGAGTCAATGGACTGGATTCGTTTTTCAATTCGTTGCCTTCCTTGATAATTTAGTTCACCAAGGTGAAAATTCAGTTAATTATAGGATAATGAAGACTATTAAATATGTCTGTCTAGTGATGAGGTAATAACCTCCAAACGATGAGTCAGTTTATATATATATATATATATATATATATTCATTTGCAGGGCATGTGAGAAGGTAAACTTAAAGGAGCTCGCATTTGATGAAATCGTTCCAAAACTTCACAGCGACCCCACTTTGCACAAGCGTCTCACCCTAGGCTACGCCTCCTTTCTCGCCAAGTTTCTTAACATTTTACCAAAAATCGATTGTATTTTGACTGATTCTGATCTTTATCGGCTTCAAAAATTTGTTCAGAATCTTCTCTCTGTTTCTGGACAAATACCTGATCTCTTTAGTCATACTGATCTAATCACTTGGAATATTGACCGTGGTCTTTTTGTTAAAGGTTTGTCAATTCCCTTTTTTGTAGGAATATTGTGCTTGTTTTTTTTCTCTTATAGAGTACGCTCTTAATTTTCTGGGAAATTCAAGCTTCGATGACGCTTTGTGTTCTTCAAAGTATGTATAATGTCTTCAAATTTGGTTTATGTGGTATTTGTTGCCTTTTCTTAGGGTTTTAGTTCGCTTGAATCGTCAAATTTCTTTACTTACCGAGGACTCAGATGTTACCATGGCTGTGATACATAAACTCAATTACCTTAGGAATAAAATGTTGCCTGTTAATAGTCATGAAGACGTTAGTCCATTCCTTAACGTGTTTACTTATTTTTATTAAGTAGGATTGTTAAATTTGCGGATTGTTTTCATTTAGTTGCTCAAAGAACTGATGTCAGTCCTTTCACCGGCTTTAAAAACGGAGATTTTTGATCGGTTACATAATAATAAATCTAAGAGGCGAGTTACTCCTCTCCCTTCGGAGGAAAATAAGTATCGAAGTTATCTGCGCAACTTTTTTAATCGTTTATCAGTGGGTCCAGCACTTTCTGACACTCAACCCACCTCAAAAATGTCTAAATTGTGGCGTGATAACTCATCTTCTAACACAATCTCAAAAGAGGTGAGTCAAATTAAAAAAATAAAGTAAAAATTTAACCAAAAGAATCCTTATAATATCACTTTGCTTACTTAGATCCTATTGAGTGCAGATATGCTATTGCTAACTCAACCACTGAAATTCTTGTCGGAGTTAGTTCGATTTCCAGTTATTCAAAACTCCATGGCTCTTCTACCTGTCATTTATAAAGTGAGTTCATTTACTAAAAGGTATGGAATGCCATTCGTTAGTTGCTGTTAATTTTATTCTCTTATAGATTCTCAATAATGTTAGCTACGCTTTCACCATTTGTATCGACGGTAACCAGGCTTCCATTTTGCACAATTTGTTGGTCTCCCTGCTGGAGATTTATGATGCAGAGACTTCTGAAACACGGGAAGGTGATGGTGGCTTAGTATGGCGTGGTGTTAATCGGCAGCGTATGGAGCTGATGCGCTATTTACCTCGAAGTGGTGACTTAGATCCAGAGCAGATTTCTCTGGCCAATCAAGCTGCTAAATTCTCCGTTTCTTCCATGTCGGGAGCAGTGGGTTTTGATTTGACAGATGATAGTGATGACACTAGTAAGAGTGGTGAAGGAAGCGATGATTCAATGGGAAAATCAACTGCTCGAAAACTTTGGGTCTATGCAATTACCTGTTTGCTTGATCAAGTGAGATTATTATAACATTTTTTTAAGTTTATTGAAATTAATGTTTATTGGTCAACAGCTAATGGATACTGTTTGCCTAGCGTAGTTGGCATTTTATCGAACCTTTGTTACTCACTTTTCAGTTGTCCCCTCCCTCAACAATGATGTGTTTCTGAAATATCCTAACTCTGCTTACTCAATTCTCATCTTTTGATCCCTGACTTTCTTAGGCAGTTTTAAATGGTGCTAATACCAACAACAAAGCTATTTTAATATTTCAATTTTGAAATTCTCCTTTAAAAGCCAGTTGTCTTCCTGAGGCCTAACAGGAGGGGGGGGGGGGTTGGCAGAATTCACGTTCTTTAGGGGCGTTGATGTACCGCGGGTAAAATTCATCGACTGACCATGCCACGTCTAAGAGGTAGGAGTCAGTATGTGCATGCACTGAATTCAATCTTACTGATTGAATCAGAACGGTTCGCCGTTCTAATTTTATTCATTTGCTGCACCTCCTTTCAATTGTGAACAGGTAGATGGATGTTCCTATTCTCGTCTTCCCCCGTAAGTGTGTGTACAGCGTGTGCATGGCTAGCCTTAATAAAATTACAAAGATGGCAACTGAAAATAGTCATTGTTTGAATAACAAAAAGTGACCCTACGGGCGCAACGGGCCGTGAAAAGCGTAAACTTAAGGTTTTGCGCCTCTGTGATTTTGTTAGCACTTCAGTTTATAAGAGTTCACAACGTAAAGGGCGTAAAAAGAGAAGTGGCCGAAATTTAAAACCCGCCCTTCTAAGATAGAAATGTTAAAAATAGCGTCAAAACTGGCTTATTTCACGAAATTGCACTCAGCTGTAAAAAATGTGAATGCAAAAAGTTTCTGGGAGCCCCTCTTCTCGCGGTAGATTAATATTTGCAATGACCCAATTCTCGTTCAAGAGTTACTTCAAGACTGGACGTATTTTAATCCATTTCTTGGTCCCATATCTGAGTAGGGGGGGGGGGGGGGGGGAGGAGGAAGGTTCCATGCTCTTGTTCTGGGAGTAGGCGTTGATAAGGGCGATTGAAGACACTCGTCTTAATTGAAAAGCACTCTTTTTGTAGTTATTTTTGTGCTAACTCTTCCGAAAATCGATTATTGATCAACTTAGTTACATTCTCACGTTTTCAACTAAAATCTTGACATTTAACGCTTTGCAAAATAATTCCCGTTATCGTATTTCTTGGTTGGAAATTCCCTCTATGCATTAGATAATCGAATTTCTCGAATTGTCTTAGACATAATGGCATTCGTTTTGCATCCAAAACTGGTTACATTTTGAGGACTTCGGTCTATCAGAGCGATTTGGATGAACCCTGGTGGACTCTATTGGACATTCCATAAAATAAATAGTTACTTATTTTGATGATATAATAATCTTATTGAAGAATGTTTACTTTTATTTATTTGTTGCTGCTTTTGTAATGCTTCTGATTTACCACATTTCAGAATTCAGGGTTTGTACCTTCTTCGATAGGATATTTGCGTTTTGTGTCAAAGTTATTGGCAGAATACATTATTAGTGATGTCTTTTTCCTCTAATAGCCGTCTACTTGGCCTTATCTCTCTGAACTCGTCAGCGACGAATCCGCAGTACTTTCATCACGAAAAAGGGCGGAACTGTTTGCGCAATGCCTTGCTCTCATACTTCTTCCCAGACCTCCTGCCAACATTCCACTGGATCTTATTGCTCCACCATGTCTTCGACTTCTCGAAAGCCTCCGATCTCCTCTAGCAGTTCGCCTCTGTGCTGCTTTGCTTCCTACTACTTCTGGCGTGAAAGAAGCACTGCGGAATGTCTTCACAGATCCTGAAGATCAAGGACGCCGTCTCTTTCTACTATCTATCGATTGTCTACCTGCAAATCTTGTCGGGAACATGACTATTTCTCTACCCCGATGTCTCACACAGTCTAACTTGGTGGATGTTAGTATTCTCAACGAAAGGTAAGTTCTCTTATTTCTCGTTGAGTAGAGTCACTACTTTTAAGAAAACATTTTACGATTTGTGCAAATTTATTCACCCCGAGTTGGGTTTCAATGAGGTTACTGGTCGGCGTGTTTACAAGGTCTGCGATGTATCACTGTTTTTTCCTTTGCTTTGCTTTATGCTTGATTTTGTGTGTGTGTGTGTGTGTGTGTGTGATTTCTCTTTCTATTCTAATAAAGAAGCGAAGTTGGTTTTGCTAGTCAAATTAAACTCGCTCGCGCGTGTGTGTGTGTGTGTGTGTGTGTGTGTGTGTGTGTGTGTGTGTGTGCATGATATTTCTGCTGTCTGCTTCATTTCTCCCCATTCACTTTTCTTTAGCTTTGTTAACCATTTCCCTGTAAGCTTTATGGGAAAAAAGTGTCCACTCTCAGTTCCGTCTTTTACTACCACCGTATGTCTTTCTTGTGGATCAGATTTAGATGTCTCTATGTTGAAGAGAATTACTTCATCTTAAATTTCCCATACTGCTTGCTTCGTCATCGTTTACCAGCTGGTGGGTCTGAGGGGGGGGGGAGAGAGGGAGAGAGATAGCATCATATCTCATAATTCGATTATTTACTTAATTCTCCTATTCGGATGGTTAATGAAAGAGTAAGCTACCTCCTTCCCCCCACTCCCCCCCCCCCTCCATTGTTTATTAGTTAATTCCAGTAAGGCGCCACCCTCTCCCT